AAAAAAAAAAAAAAAAAAAAAAGTACCACAATTTTAGGATTGCAGAGTCAAACACACCAAAGTTAGGCACCCTTAATTCTGGCATTTTCTGTACAACATTCACTTCTCCTTGCTTACACAGTCCTCACGTGAGCACATGTTGTGTTTTCCACAGGGCCTCTGCCTCAGTGCACAAAATGGGCCTGTTTTAGTGATTAATCAGAGTTGTGCAGTGAAGGAGGCTACTGTTTATATAAAATACATGGCTTCATGGTTCAGGCAGTTGTCTGGTACTCTGGAGAACTGAACCCTGCCACCCAATTTTTGTATGCTGCAAGGCAAGTCACTTGCATCACTGTTTTCATAGGTGGCCACTAATTGTGTATTTGTAATATTTTGGATGTCCAACTCTTACACAGGGGGCAGGGTGAGTGGGGAATCTCATTTACACAAGTGTTTAATGGCTGTATCTGTGAGTGCTATTAATGAGCACTCTTTTGTAAATATGTGGAGTCATGTAACGTTAGGTAAAAAATGGGTCCTAGGTGTCTCAGATACTTTATGTTCTTCCATTTACATTTACCAAAACTGCACCCTCACTCATTCCCTTAATTCAGGGTAACGCTCCTCCCCTCATTTCCTTATTAGAAATTTATTGAAATTTGATTCGGATGTCAGTGATCAGAATCATAGAAAAAGCCCCCTAGCAAGTGAATAATTCTGTCTGCATAGCAGGGTTTGAAAAATTGTGCAGTAAATAAGGCAAATAAGAATAATACCAAATACTGAGTAGCTGTTCATTAAGTGAGTATTGTCCATCCTGTGTCCTGCATGTGGTGTAGGTATGGAGAAATAGTATGTGATTAAGGGTGGTATCATAATGCATACACAGAATGCAGCTGAGAAAGTGCAGCCAAACTTTTGAACACTTCTGACTTTGCAGCATTATCTCTGTTCTTCTAAAGTAGTTTTGTATGTGATGTACTAGGTTTCAGAAGCGAACTGGTATCATATTGACACTGAGATCTACTGTATAGACATCTGACATTTGAGCTACCAGAGTAACTAGTAGCTAAATGGAATTTGTTTTTTGTTTATGAAAGACAGTCCAGGAAAAGAGAAGTCCCTGACCAGCAAAGGAGTAGACATGATTTGAGACTGAGTATCTCTGATGGAGAAGGGAGAGATCCTGAGTGTGTAAAATTCTTTGGATTGCAGATGCTACAGTGTGTAAAAATTCTTGGGATTGTAGGTAGTTTTTCTTTCTCAAGCTTTATGCTTATACATATACAAAAATAAGATTTGAGATCTAGACATTGCTAAAAACAAAAAGTAAATTTTTATTCTTAGTTTTAAGTCTGCTGATTTGTGTTTGTTTATTTTAAGAAGTGGGAGTAGGATTTTTTTCTAATTAAGTGTTGGAACATATGCTTATCTTATCTCCTTAATGTGGATTGCCTCCAACTGATGTGTGTATTGCACCGGAAACCTGCGGTTTCTGGAATTAATGATTTACTAGTTAAGTGCGTAATATTTGTAGTTACAATTATATTCAGTGGGTGCACTTAGTTTCCTCATCTGGGATGTTGGTTCCAGCACTGGTTCTTGTTTAAGTGGAACAGGGTAATACTTATAAAACTCAGACATATTTTTATGTGTCCCTATGTTTGTTTTCGATTTTTCAGAAATCTTGAGCATTATGGCCCTCAGTCAAACTTTAAACTAGGCAAGGGGTTGGACTAAATGACCTCTGGAGGTCCCTTTCAGCCCTACTTATTTATGATTCTTCTCTGATTTAAGAAACCTACACCTAATTAATAATTCTTCTTTAATTCCAGGGGGAAGTTTGCAGTGGTAAAGAAATGTGTCCAGAAAGATACAGAAAAAGAGTTTGCAGCAAAATTTATGAGAAAAAGAAGAAAAGGCAAAGATTGTCGGATGGAAATAATACATGAAATTGCAGTGCTTGAATTAGCACAGTGCAACCTCTGGGTCATTAATTTACATGAAGTTTATGAGACAGCAACTGAGATGATCTTAGTTTTGGAATAGTAAGTACTAATCTCATATTTTGGGGTCTTAATGCAACTATGAAATAGGAACATATTCCCAAATACTTTTTTTACTTATTTCAGTAATCTAAAAGTGCTATGCACCCAGAAGATTAAATTAAAAAACAGGTGCTTCATTAGTTGCTGTTGCAATTGCCTGGTTGGTAGATCAGAAGAAAATACCAATTAAATTAGTAATTACACGCAAGTGGTCAAATGTTCATTGCAGACTACATCAGTTTTCAGAACACTTAATTTATTTACAATGAAATGTTGCTCTTGTCTTGCTCATGTATTATACTTTTAGTTATGATGTCTAGAGGTATTTATGTGCCAGATAACAGCAATTTAAAGTTTATCTTACAAAATATGAAAGGCATGGCAAATTGTTATCCTGATGAAAATTGGGATAAAATTGTTGAAGCAAGTATTTATATTAAATTAATGACAAAACTTCTTTCATCTGGCAGTTACAACAGCAACAAAAAAGGTTGAAATAACCAAAATGAGTTACTTCTTTTTGAAATTTTCAATCTGAAACTGACATTTTTGTGAAATTTCTTGCTGTTGTAGAATCTGCATTTTTCACTGAAAACTTTCAGCTGAGGATTCCTCGCTTAGCTCTAGTGCCCATACTTCTGTACAAGGTGGATAAAAATCAGTGATTTTAAAATTTGGATTTTTTTTACTCAAATCAGATTTTGCTTGATTTTTAATTATAATTTTTTTGTTAAGATACTTTTAAAGAAAATTAGACCTATATAAAGAATGTTTTAATTTAAAATATGTTAAAGCTCAAAAATACCATCATGGACCCAGGGCTTATAACTCCTAATTATATATTAACATAAGACAATATATTCATGCAAACTTTTTAGAAAAGTTTTATAAATAGGTCACAACAGGCCATGGACTATATTAGGGGCCCAATCTTGTGGCATTCCCAGAGGCTTCTTTATAGATTAGTAAAGATTAAAACAGAAAAAACCACTCCGCGCAATGGAACTCAGCACTTAGCCTAGAAAATCTCATTAAGCATCTCTGTGATGCTTTGTTTCAGTTCTCAAACTGTGGATTTGTGTCTTCAGAGCTAACATCCTTGTTAACAGCAGTACATGGAGATGAGAGATAACAGACCTGATTATTACCCACCCATTAGCCCTCTTGTCTCTCTTTAAGTTTGTGTACACAGAGTCAAGCCCTCTCCTTTCTCTAAAAGTGAAAAGTTTCAAGAAGTTAAATAAATAAAGAATATCAAACAACAAGAATGCCCTTTTTGTAGAAAACAGTGATTAAGTCAAGGCTTCCTGACCAGTGATTTAAATCAATTTGCTTTAAATTTAGTTTGCAAAGTGAACAAAACTGGCTTGCATCTACCGATGCATCTCGAGCAAGAAACCAGGATGTCATCCTTCCACTGTACTTGGCCTTGGTGAAGCCGCAGGGGGAGTGCTGCATCCAGTTCGGGGCTCCACAATTTAGGAAGGATGTGGAGAAGCTTGAAAAAGTCCAGAGGAGAGCCAGGCGAATGATCAGAGGGCAAGAGAACAGGCCTTATGAAGACAGGCTGTGAGCTATGCGACTCTTCAGCCTGGAGAAGCACAGGCTCGGGTGACTTGGTGGCAGCCTATAAGTACATAAGGGGGTGTGCATCAGGATCTGGGGGAACACCTGTTCACCAGAGTACCCCAGGGGATGACAGGGTCCAACGGTCACAAACTCCTGCAAGCCATTTTAGGCTGGACATAAGGCAAAACTTTTACTGTCTGAGCCTCCAAGGCCTGGAACAGACTCCCCCCCAGAGGTGGTGCAAGCACGTACTCTGGACACTTTCAAGAAACAGTTGAACATCTATCTTGTTGGGATCCTTTGACCGTAGCTGACTGCCTGCCTCTTGGGCAAGGGGCTGGACCTGATGATCTGACGAGGTCCCCTCCAGCCCTAATGTCTATGAAATTTATAATGTCTATGAAAATCAAATCCACCCTGCTTCTACATGCTGGTGATGTTAACAGATTTCCTTTTGCCTAGCTTCCGTCCCATGTGTGAGACCCATCTCTCTTTTAAATGCAGCTCATCTCCTTCTGTCATTGAGCACCCTTCCTACTGTAACAGTAATATAACAGACAGGTTTCCAAAAAGAAGTTGAAAGGTACAGGTGTAGATGTCTGTCAGGTAGTGAGTGCTGCATTACATTAGTTTTCAGGCAGTGAAAATTCTGTTATAAGCCCTGCTAGTTATGTTATTAAAAATACATTGTTTAGGTGGCCCTAAAGAGTCATGTAAAATTGTCTTGAATGTGGCTTTCAATTTTTTCAAGTGGATCGACAGCAAAGCAAGTTTTGCTTCTAGGTAAAGTAAAAGTTTTGTCAATTTAAGAGGAGATCTTGCCTTCTTGGAAGTGTATCTTTAAGAGTAAGTTTTAAAATTTGACAGTAAATTCCATTTTTAGTTTTCTCTGTATTTGCAAGGACTTTAATAGACATAGAAACAATCCTGTAGAATAACTGCCTTCCTGTATAATTTGTGGAAGGCCAATTCAGACGTTTCTCATTTGAAAACAAGCCATACTGCCATGGAATTAAAGGTTCACTGACCTTCCTGTCTGTAAATATAATCCTGTACAGACAGTGTATACTGTTTAGTATAGAAAGTGATCTTTTCCTATTCCCTGCAAACATACTTGGATAAATAAGTTAGCTGCAGTGTAATAGAACAATATTTTTCCAAACCTTGTAAACAGCAAAAAGAAAAGAAGAGCTGTTACATACCTTTAGTGGCATTGCAGGTTAACCTGTCTCTAATAGCGTTACCTTTGATAATTAGTAAACTGTTATGCTCTAGTCACAATTAAGGTTGTGACTGAATATCTTCCATTAACCCAGAAACTGAAGAGACTGGAAATAAACTAATAGGAAGGACCTGAGGATTTTTGCTGTCTTCATGTTTTTACAGGGCTATTAGCACACATGAAAACCACTTTATCTCCATCAATATACAAAAATTAGGTTTCACAGCTTCATCAAACTTGAACTTTAACACAGTGCTTTAAGTGACTTCATGGTTTTCTATCAAATAAAGAGATTAGTGTGTGTATTGTACTTTTCGTGTATTAGCGAGGTTATTCTGCTGTGACACAAGTCACTGCTGTGGTTCAGTGCACTACATAATATCAGTTTACCACAGTTGTGAAGTGGGTGTGATATGAAGGTGGAAGAGGCCTTCCTTTTTCAAGAACTGAAATACTTTATTTGAATCCCATATTGCTAGTGAGTATTTATAAGCTCTCAGGTAAGTGAAATTACTGTTTTCCTGCCAAACTCTAAAGTTGGCCTTATTTCTTAAGTTTAAAAAAAATTGCTGCTTCCAGTATTTTCTGTTAGTTAACAAATTAGGGGCTACAGTTGTTAAATGATGCTGCTTTTCCCTAGTCCACTGCAGTAGGTCTGATCATGGGTCAGGAGAGAGGTTTTTTCCCTAAGAATATAGTCTTTAAAATAGCAGCAGTAGTTCTTTATTACTAGTGTACTGAGATACTGAAAACAGAATATACTAAAAAAATTGGTGGTCAATAGGTTTGTTTCCCAGATGCTCAGCAGACTGAACTTATAATTTTGTGGAGTTTTTGCTGGTTTGGGTCTTGCTTTACATCTGCTTAGGTACCTTTCTGTTTACTGGACTGAAGAAGACTTATATGATCACTGTTGCTAATTTTTAATTTTTTTTTAAATATAAGATGACCCCCCCAATAATTAGATTATATATATATAAATTGGTTTTAATTTTCTAGGTGCAGAATTGAATTAATGGAAGTTTGCTTTAATTTGCCCCCTTCCCACTGCTACGGCAGGGAAAAGAAATATGGGGGGGGGGAATCAGGTGGCCCCTCTGCTGCACCAGCTTCTTGCCCCCGCAGCTCCTTCCTCTTCCTCCTTCACTGTCAGACCCTGCTCTCTGAATGCTGACCTTGACATAAACTTACTTGTAATGTGCATATAGTACCCATAGACTTAGTTCATCCAGAGTTGATGCATTTTACCTTTTTAAAAGTTGCTCCAAGTTTTAGCACAGATACTTCATACACACACTTCTAAGCAGCACTTTTGTGCCTACTTATATATAATACAAACTATGCATAATATTAGTCCAAAGTGCATGGTTTACTATGTAATCCATTGGGCTGGGCCCCAGCAGAGTCAACAGCATTTCAAGTCATGATGAGCCAACAGTTCAGCACTCCTCAGTGTGTGTACTCCTGATTTCCCTCCCCACCATGTGCTAATTAGCTAGCCCCCCCCATGACTGCAAATGGGTGTTCTTGTCATGAATCCTGGGATCTTCCAAAAACTTATATGCAGATGAGGTGCATGGTAATCTGGTCCAGCTCTATATCATGGAGGGTGGAGCCATGCTAATCATATGCAGTAGACTGAGGGGGGGCAACAGAGTGATTCTAGGTGAATTGTTTGGTGCCCCTTTTGGTGATGTTTGCACACATTTAAGGCTGGTGAAGAAACAGGGAAATGGGAAAGAAAGGCATAGCTCAGCTCTGGGAGTGAAGAGGGAGTTGAAATGCATTCTTTGTAGTGGTTCACCATGACTTGAAAAAGAGTTGGTGCTGAGGGGGACCGTATGCAGTGGGCCATACAATGTATCTTATTCAGATTGGCTGCACTAACCTATTCTTGTGGTAGGTTCCTATTAGCATGTTTGCCCAATATGGGCCATGTGTTTTATAGTAAGGCTCAGTGTTTGCTGGACTTCATCAACTTCATAGTTGGTTTCCATGACTGAGTACAGGCTTCTTTGTCAGCAGCAAAGTGACAAGCAGTGCATTTAATGAGGGGTTTTTTGTATGCAGTATAAAATGAGGGTTTTTTTCCCCATGTTGATTGGAGGAAAAAAAACCTCATCTTGTATTCAGATAAATACATGTTTGTTTGTGTTCCTGCCTGATGCTTCATGCTGGAGCATGTTTTAGACTCAAACGTCTAGTTACT